GAAATGAAATGATATATAATGGTAAAGTGAGGGAAGGGAGGAAAACCAAGTCAGAGAGGAAGAGGTTTGTGGTGGGAAGCTCCTGGAGAGGCAGATGACACACAGGAGACCAGAGGTGAGGTCCTGATGGGGGACACAGGCACATGGCAAAGGGGACAGTCAACAATGCTAGGAAGTTCCAAAGCTCCCTGGGTGAAGATGGAGGAGGAGGCCATCCTGGCCATGCTGAAAGGGCACTCGGATCCTTGGGGGAGACACAGCTGCTCCATCCCTCCACTCTTCCAGGCCTCTGACCAGTGACTACCACAAACATCAGTCATGACTGATAGGCAAACTCCAAAGCGGCCTGAAAAGGCCAGAGATATCCGTTCAGACCCTGAAGGAAAGGGCCTGGAGTCCTAGATGGGTAGAACAGTCAGGCAGCCAAGGTGTAACACACAGTGACAGGGACACACAGGGAAGGATCACCCGGGTGGGAGGTCACATCCCGAGATAGTGACACACAGACAGACTCGGAGATGGATGGGTGGGGAGAATGAATGAGGTGTAGAATGGCAAAATCCAGAGGTAGGGACACATGGACAGAGACCAGCGGGGCAACAGGAGCAGCAAAACGCGTGGTCGGGTTCTCGTTGATAGGGCTATTCAGAGAGAGGGACAGACAAGAGCAGATGGAGAGCTGGGGGCCAGGAGACACACTTCACCTTGAATAGGAGTAGAGGCCTCCCCTCACCTACTACTCACACCTTTCCAAAACAAAACAAAACAAACAAAATCCAACCCCCCAAACCAACAAACAACTCAACTTCTGGCAAAACCTAAGATCGAAGATTAAGGGTATCCACGCCCTCTCCCACCCTCCCACCTCCCCAGCGCGCTTGCCCATCCATCTGCCTGCCTGCTAGCCGCCGTTCCTCCCCCATCCTGCGGCCGGCGGGGGGCCACCGAGACCCAGGCGCCTCCAGACTGACAGCTCCGAGCCCCCGCACTCCCCCGGCCTCCCCTTCCCTCCGGGACCCCCGCTCCCTGCACAGCTCGGCGCGGCCCGTCTAGGCTCTCGTTACCCTCCATCTGTCCGGCTGGCTCCTGGTCCAGCCTCGAAACCTTTCCCTTCCCCGTCTCTGCCTCCACCCCGGCATCTCTCTCTTCGCCCCATTCCCGCTCGTAGGCCCTCTCCTTCCCTCCCATACCCCTGTCCCTCCTTCTCCTCAGGCTCTCGGTGTGTCCGTCTGTCCGTCCGGGTCCCCTCCCCCAGTCCCTTCCCGTCCCTCTCCGTGCCCTCCAGCGGCAGTCTCCGAGCGCCTACTCTCCCCTCCGTCTCAAGCTTCCAAAGAGCAAGGAAGGGAAGAAGAGAGAGGGAGAGGAGAAAAAAAACCAACCCAGCAGCATCGGAAATCGATGCACTTACACCTCAGCTGGAAGCAGGGACGGGAGTCGAACCGCGGCCGCCCAGCAGCGCGAGGCGGGGAGGGGAGGGGGTGGCTCTTGGAAGGGACTTCTCCGATGTGTTGATTCCTTTTTTTCCCCTCCTCCTCCCTCCCTCCAGCGCTCACTCCGGGGCGTCGGGGACGGAGATGGAAAAAATAAATAAATAAATTCACGGCGGTGAGGGAAGTGAAGGAAAATAATCAATGCTATTTGGCTGCGGCTGAAGTGTTTTCCCGGCTTCGTGAGGGGGTTTCCATTGATTCACCCTGGGCACTCGCTCGCTCCCTGCCTCCTCCTCCTCCTCCTCGCCCTCCTCCTCCTCCTCGCCCTCACCCCTCCGCCTCACTCACTGGCTGGAGCCGAGGCGTCCCACACAATGGAATAATCAATACCCAGGCGCCCGGGGCGGCCCCACTGAGCAGGTGCAGCGGCCCGCCCGCCGCGGAGTATGCCGGGAGTTGTAGTCCGTCCGCCCCCGCCCCGGCCCCCCGTTTCTAGAGCTTGTGTCCGCCTGCTTGGCTGGACTGTGGGCGGGACCCCAGGCCCGAGGACAGGTGGACAGCGGTCCCGGCCACCTGCTTGACTGTGGCGCCAGGTCCAAGCCGGTGCCTGCAAAGAGGGCAGAGGCTCCTTTAAACACTTTCCTGTTTTCTCCTCCTCTTCCTTCTGCCTGCAGAAATCGCACACGTGTTTTGTAATTTTGTTTTAAATCAGCTCTAGAGCAAGTCCTGGCTTCTGCCAGCTTCCCGGAGCCACTCGAGGCCTATCTCTCTTTCTTCACTCCCTTATTCTTGCTTTATTAGTTCCTGTCCCTTCCAATTGGGCACTAGAACCTTATCTTCCACAGCAATTAGTCCTGGTGCCTGGGAGCTTCTGTCTCCTCCACGTGGTCACAGAGTCCCCAGAGTTGGGTGGGGGGAGGGGAGGTTCTGGCTCCCCATCCTCATCTTCGGTTTATCAGCTCCCATAAGCTCTCCTATATTCTAATAACAATAGCTGCTAAAATTAATTGAGTGCATAGGGACAGTTCCAAGCACTTTTACATATATTAACTTATTTAATCCTCACAACTAGTCTCATTTTACAGTTGAGGAAACCAGGGCACAAACAAGTTAATTAACTGGCCCAAGGTCACACGGCCAATAAGTGACCCCTCCAGGATTCAGATCCTGATAGTCTGACTCCAGACCTCACACTAGCTGCTATAGCCTACTTCTCTTAAAAGAAAAAAATCCTGGAGTTCACAGGAAAAAAGGAAGGAGAAAGAAACTAACGTTTTGAATCTCTATGATGTGACAGTTTGTCACTGAATTCCTCACACTTAACTGTGAGGCAGTCCACATTTTACCAAAGTGAAAACAGAGGTTTAGGGAGGTGGAGTTGCTAGCCCAATGCCAAACACCAGTAAAGTGAAGATGGGACTCAACTCCAGGTCTGTCTAGCTTTGGAGTCTGGTCTTTCCTTTTCCTTAAACTGCTGCCTTGGCCCTACTGGACTGGACTTTATAACTCACAGAAGAGATTAAGTCTTCTTCCTCTGGGCAACAAAACTGATAAGCAAAGGACAGATGAAAAGCAGGCCAGTGAAAGGAATTAGGGGCTGGGGTCCCTCCCCTCTCTGCACATTGGTACCCGTCATAGGATGTGGCGGGGTATACCTTAAAGAGATCCCAAGTTCAGGATGCCATGTCTGTAAACCAGTGTCCTCTCCACAGTACCTCCCATGGGTCACGTGTTTCCAGAAACATACTGGGGAGAGGACAAGTATTGAGATTGAGAACCTAGCACTTCGCACCCATCATAGGAGCAGGCCCAGGAGTTGACAAGAGCCACTGTTCTTCAGCAAGCTACCTTACTCAAAGAATCAGACATGCAGTTGATGCCTCCAGCTAATCATAGCCCTGGGAGGGAGTAAGGAGAAGAAGCCTTCTCTATTTTGTCTCCCAAAGCAAAGGGCCATTCTCATGTCTTCCTATATTTTATGCTTTTTTTTTTTTTTTTTTGCGGTACACGGGCCTCTCATTGTTGTGGCCTCTCCCGTTGCGGAGCTCAGGCTCCGGACGCTCAGGCTCAGCGGCCATGGCTCACGGGCCCAGCCGCTCTGCGGCATGTGGGATCTTCCCGGACCGGGGCACGATCCCGTGTCCCCTGCATCGGCAGGCGGACTCGCAACCACTGCGCCACCAGGGAAGCCCTTACTATATTTTAAATGAACATAAGTATTTCTCCTATTCCTGACAAAGCCTGCTCAGGGGCCACTGGACAAACTCCTCAGTCTGACACTCAAAACCTTTTCCAACCTGCCCAACCTGTATTTCTTGATTGATCTCTTTCCTCTTACACATGGGCCAGGTGCTCTCCAGCTTCTGAGCCTTTGCTCATGCTGTTCCTGTCACCATCTTGGTCTCCAACCGTTGAAATCCCATCATGTCTTTAGTTTTCATCCAAAATATCATTTCCTCCTCTTACAGAAAGTCTCCCATCCACCCTTATCCTGAACATTCATGGGGATGTATTAACTCCCCTTTAAAACTCCAGAGTCTAGAGTAGCTGTACTGGTCTTAGTTATCCTTTTTTTTTTTTCCCCCCTAGCTCATTCCCACTGGCCTGCATTCAGTGGGACACCATAATAGTTAATAAAATATTTGCTGGACAGCGTCTGAGTGAGTGGCTTGTATTCCAGGCCCATCTGCCAACGGGGTGAGGGGGTTGGAGACAGGACTGGGGCCTCAGCTCCTTTTCCATCCGACTCTCTCAACTTTAGGTCGAGTCCCGCTGGCGTTAATCGCAGCTTTCCTGTCACCATAGCGACGGGTGGGCAAAGTCTCCCTTTGGAACTACATCTCCCATCATGCACCCGGGCCCCAGGGTGCCGACTCAGCTGCGCCCCCACCCCCGAGAGCCGGCAGGGGTCTGGGAGGAGGAGCAGAGCGCAGGGAGATGGCCTCGCTCTCGGCCCACCGCGGAGGTTGCGGCCTCCCATAAGCTAGCAGGCTTCTCGGGCCCCGGCCTGCCCTCGGCTTCGCCACAGCGGGCCTAATATGGCCGCTCGTGCCGGGATCTCCCGGGTGTGCAGAGAACCGGGGCCAGGAACTGCTCCCGGCATTC